TCTCTCCTTACTAAGGATTGATGACATCCTTAGATACATTTCTGTCATGGTCCTAAGTATGTCATGTTTTGATGTTCTGAGTTGACGTTATCTCAAGAAAGTTATTCTGAGTTCCACCCTGATAGAGGTTATGTTGAGGGAGCCGTTGCAGATTGTATTCAGTCTCTTTTTGAAGGTTCTCAGCTGTATTCCTATGATCCTACCTACTGTTTTGCCTAATTTTCTTTTTTTAAGGTGTTTGAGATGTTAGAATACAAGGAATTTTTGTTTTGTTTTGTTTAGTATATTCTTGGCAAAAAGCTATGTATGACTGCCCTAGAAAGTAATCATTTCTCTGTGCTGTTCAGACAGACATTACAGGCTACAGGTTGTGCTCTCATTATTTTGGAGGAAAAGAATGACTTCTAGGTTGCATGTTCTGAAAACAGTGGGTTGCAATATTCATGAAATATTAAATCAATATTCCCTCCAGTTTTATTATTAAATTATCAGGTAAACTATTATTTACCTGGTTCATTCCAATGTGCTTGTGAGATGACATCTACAGGATTTGTAAGTTTTTTAAACTAAAGAGGAAAATTGTATCAGTATTCATAAGTGCTATGAAATGAGGCAATGTGGAAGACAAGATCTGGGTGCTTGAATATGTACACCAGAATTCATTCCTTCTCCTCACTGTTCTTTTCCGTATACCTAGATCCCTATTCTTCCTCTGTACCTGACGTCTTTTCTTTTATCTTAACTGTTCTCCCTTCTACTTCTCACAATAATTAGATAACATGTAGCTCTCTGGCCCTAGATTTAAAATTTAATAATTTTATAATTTTCATCTCTTACATCCAGTTTAGTAATTTTACTTTAGGAGATAGTTCTGAAAATAATCCCTTCAAGTTGACATGCTAGTAGTAGCATTATACTTTGAGTTTTTTTTTTTTTGAAATGTTGACTTTTAAAACTAAAAACTAGAATGTTTAATTTAATTAAACAATTAATTTAATTTAACAATTTAATAAATTGTTTTAATCTAAATGATATTTTTTGGAACAGAGGGGTCATATTGGCTCCATAGTAAGTCAAATATAGATAATGATAATAAGTTAACAGTCCTTTACCTGTAGGATATCTGCTTAATTTATAGTAGTCTGGAGAAGTAGCTCAATGCCTTAATCTTCCTCTTTTTAAATAATTGCTTGGTGTCATGTTCCATTAAACCCCTGCAATGTGAATTTGAGCTCTAATAATAAATAATAGAAATAGAAAATAATGAGATATAAATAAAATCTTACTATTTTAGCAAAGGTATGTTTACGTGTTCTTCTAAATTTTCATATTTTATAAGGAATGTACTCTATATAGAATTTACAGTGGATGCCTTTAATTATATCGAATGGATCCTGAAGTTAAATGTGAAAACTATGGAAATAGCATAACATGATTAGTTATTAACATTAATTGAGCTCTCATTATGTGAGGTGCACGGTACAAAAGAAATAGAAATTCAGATGCAGGCTTCCTTGCAAACTAATCATCTAACGGGGAGATAGAACTCGTGAAAAATTGTACCCAATCCTGAATTTCCATGCCTAGAAATCAAAGGACTAATGTTATTAAACTTCATATTTGTATAATACTTTGAAATGTATAATCTGTTCTCAAATATGATATCTCTTAAGATCTCTTAGGATACTGTGAGAACTACAGGGTGTGGTAAAAGAGCATGAACATTGGTTTCAAATAGAGCTGCTTCTGAATCCTGATCTGCCTCTTAGAGATGGAAACATCTCTGTGCTTCCGTTTCCTCATTTGTATAATGAGGCTAATACCATGCCTTTTAGTGCTGATTTGAGGG